CATACTAAGCCATCTCTTCAATTAAGAAATGATGTGAAGAGTAAATAACCCTATCCTTTCCTCTTTAGTCCAAAAGTACCAGATTTTATAAAATCATGACTTCATCAGTAAATAAGCTGGTTGCAACTTTGTGTAAGTTATTGCTAAAATAACTCAGTTATTTCATCTATGAAATAGGGATATTAATAGCTAACTCACAGGGTTGTTGTGACAGCTAATTGAGCTTCAATATATAGACAACACAGAACTGCCCACCACAGTTAACTAAAGTATTTGCTGCCTTAACCTCTACTGTTTCAGTTATTCTTTTCTGGATTTTCAAAAATATCTAGGGCAACATTTGGTCTAATGGCTAAGACATCAGTTAAAATATGCCTTTATCCCACATCAGAGTGCATGAGTTCAATTCCTGGCTCTGGCTTCAGACACCAGCCTCCTGCTCATGCAGACTTTGGGAGGTAGTAGGTGAGGGCTCAAGGAGTTGGCTCCCTGCCACCCATAGAGTAGACCTGGATTGAGTTCTCGGTTCCCCGCTTCAGCCCTGACCATTAGGACTTCTGAGAGTGAACTAGCAGATGAGAAAACTCTCTCTCAAACAAATAAATATTAATAAAAAAATGACTAGAAGACTTTGTTTTCTGATTGACAAAGGATACAAGCCCAGTTACTTGAAGCTATATTGATGCAGTTTTCCATGACTGATATTTCTACCAGAGGTTCAGTTTTGACACCTAAAAGAGGTGTCAGCAGTAGGAAGACCATTATGTTCTTTTAAGGAACTTTGTTGATGGCAAAATGGGCTCCAATCCTTTGGCAGTTATGTACAGGTGATACTTTACTCATGGCCTGGGTTCTGGAAAAACCTCCTTGACAAGGCCTAACATCCAGATGTTATCTATGACCTCATGAGACTTGTGACCCGGGACCCCCTTGAGGCCAGCTGGTCCTAACATGCCACTTCCTTAAGTAGTAGGTTGATTTGCAATCACTGAAGCAGGGCAAGAAACTTCAAGCTAAGAGAGGGAGACAGACTGTGTGAGGCTAGGGCCTGATAGAACTCAGTGTCCATACTGAAAGCATTATCTACGGGGTTGGTTTCTATTCTAGCAAAAAAAAAATTGATTTTCCTGTTGTTCATTTCTTCTAACTTTAGGAAATATCCTCTCACAATATAAGCATTATAATCTGATACTGCATAGGTAGAATGCTGAGAAGTGAGATATTGAATGTCTTGTATGAGAAAACTTTTTTTTAAAAGTTTTTTTTTTTTTAATAGGAAAAGCAGATTTACAGAGACACAAGCGATCTTCCATCCACTGGTCCATTCCCCAAGTGGCCACAGAAAGACGTGAGAATCCTCATGTCTCAAGAACAAAGAACAAGGGATCCTATGCTAAATTGGACAAGGATGGTCTATGACTGACCAGGCTGTATCTGCACTTTCTCAAGAAATACTAACATTCAAAAGAGACATTCCAGGAGTCAGATAAGAGACATTCCAAGCATCAGATAAGAATGGCAGATTATCTTAATGAATTTATACCACTAGGTAGGATGCCTGCCAGGCAAAATGGTGGTTAAGACCAAGATATTTATAGCCAAGTCAAGCAGGATTCCTATATGTATCCTTGTCAAAAATGGAATTTTGGACCTAGACATACACATAGAAGGGAGGTGCAGGGAGAAGCCAAGAACAGAAGCTGGGAATACAGTGTTCCCTTAGAGTACTCAAAACAAGAATGCCAGAAAAGCATGTTATCCAAAATATTAGACTTTGGGATTTATACCCTATGGAACCATGAAAAAAAAAAACTTTTTTAAGTACCTGGTTTGGTACTTTGTTATGATAGCACTAGCAAACCAATGCATAGTTCTTAGTACAGAGTTTAGTCAGTTTCAAAATTTCTAATACCCCTTTGAGAAATAAAATTACTAAAGTACCATGTTTTTGTATAGTTTTTTTTTTTGCATTTTTTTCTATGCAAAGAAGTAATGGTATTCTTTTTAAGATTTATTTATTTTTATTGGAAAAGCAGACCAGATTTACAGAGAGGAGAGACAGAAAGATCTTCCATTTGCTGGTTCACTCCCAAATGGCCATAACAGTTGGAGCTAAGCAGATCCAAAACCAAGAGCTGGGGCTTTTTCCAGACCTGCCACATAGATTCAGAGTCGCAAGGCTTTGGGCCATCTTCTGATGCTTTTCCAGGCCACAAGTAGGGAGCTGGATGGGAGGTGGAGCTGCTGGGATTAGAACTGGTGCCTATATGGGTTCCTGGTGCTGTCAAGACAAGGACTTTAGCCTCTAGACCACTGCGCCAGGCCCCAAATTTACTTTCAAAAAAAGTAAATCTTTCTTCAGCATAGTATGCTTTTTTGGAAAATATGCTTTTAGATTTTGTTTTCTTCCTAATTTTATTTACACAATTGAGAGGGATGCATGCCCCAATGGGCCTCTGATTAGGGTGGTGTTAAGTACAGAGGAAGGTAGGTGGGACAAATGTTTCCGTTCCTTTTTCTGATGAATCCACGGGGAGAAGTGGGAAAGAGCTGCTCCTTGCCATCAAACTACATCAGCACCTGAGGATGACGCCTAACACGTTAAGTGGCCACCAGCAACAACCGTATCTCTCATGGCTGCCAGCAATGGAGGATGGCCTAAGTGACTGGGCTCTTGTAAAACCACGTGGGAGACCTGGAAGAAGCTCTGGGCTTCTGGCTTAGGACCCTGGGGGGAGGAGGGAGGCCCTTGGCTGTTACAGCCATTTAGGGAGTGAACCAGTGAATGCAAAGATGTGTCTCTCTGTAACCCTATAAGTAAAATCTCAAGGGTCCTAGGAGGAATGCATACTTATTGCTCCTATTTTATAGATTTGGAAACTAAAATTTGGGGTGGCTAAGTGACTTATTCAAGGTTACGCAGTTACAAAATGGTATAATGGGGATAAAGACTATTCAACTCCAAAGCCACACCACTAAACCTCTAGGAAACAATGCTCTAAAAACCTGCCAAGTGAAAACCACAGGGGTGAAAAGAGGAACTTCAACTCAACGTTTGATGTGGTCCAAGATTACTGACCAGGGACATAATTTATTATAACAAGATTTGATTTAAATATATTATGTGATTTGGGGTCAAAGGGAGGTCAACATGAACAACATGAAAAATTCAAAGATATCTTCAGGTCAGCCACATTCCACTGCTTTGTCTCATTTCTTTGTAACTCTTTCACTTACCAGTAACAGAAATTATTTTGTTACTTGTTTATCATACGCCCCTTCTAATTAGAGCATAAGTTCAATAAAGCCAAGAACTTCATCTTTCTTGTTCAGGGCTGAAGTTCCAAGTGTTTCAAGTTAATGCATAAATATTTGTTGAACGATGCATAAATGGCCTTCCTTGGACCTGAACTGCAAAGATTTCAATTTACAAGCTGTGGTTGGACTGGCCATAGTAAAAGGCACATGTCAGGACCAACTGTTTGCTTTGTTAGTTAGGCTAGGGTATACTGAAGAAAGAGGAGGAGGAAGATTGAGTTACCTGGCAAAGATTAAGAACCCCAGAAAGATTTTTATGTGTGCTGTAGATATTTTATGTGTGCATTGGAAACAGAAGTCCTTATTTTAACACAATAATGACATCAAATGTCAAAACGAGCCGCTGGAGGACCCTACCTGCTCTGCTCTCAGGCACATGGGCAATGAGCCATTAACAGTGACTTCCTCCATGTGTCTTTGTTGCCTCTCAAATACATAGGAATTTTTACAAATAACATTTTCGAAAAGGATTTGTTTATTTATACGAAGGGGACAGCTGACACAGAGAGACCTTCATGCACTAGTTCATTCTTCAAATGGCCAACATGGAGCCAGGAGCATTAATAGGGAGCTGTGTTGGAAGTGGAGTAGCCTTGAACTTGCATGGCAGGTGGCTGCTTAGTTTGCTGTGCCGCACAACTGGCTCCACAGATACCTTTTTATATGAAAAATAACTATTTCTCCCCCTCCAATCTCAGTGCAGTGGTGCTATTTTATGTTTTCCCAAATCTCTTTAATGTCTGCTTTTACACCAGATGGCTCGATTCTCCTGTCTGCTTCTATTTTTCAAAAGCCTGTTTGCTAGACACATGTTGGGTACCCTTGGAAAATCTGCTGTACACTTGTGAGCTTGTAAGAAAGGCAAGCAATGTCTGAGAATTACAGGGCGAATAGTTTCCCCTTGAAAGGCTGTGTTGGTGCTCAGCTCGCGTATTGAGGATGACTGTCCTTAGGGTTAATTTTAGACAAGTCAATTGAAAAATTGTAGCGGTTTCACAAAGTGATGATTTACATAGGATTTGATTCATCAGAAGGACAAAAGCATTATCCGACCTTCTGAGTACCCTTAAACACGCAGTTGTCATCAGTCAGAACGACTAAAGTCGCAATAGGGAGCTGCATGCGGACAGCCCCAGAAAGCGAATCGGCAGAAGACGCCACCAAGGTGGTCAGGAGGAAAGCTGTTCTTAGGCGGGAAGGGGAATATGGTGACCAGAGGCTGAGGAGTTGGCAGGAATTGGGTCCACGACAGGGATGCGGAAAGACAGCTGGAGGTAAAGGATGCAGCCAGCTTGGTCTGCATTCTCACCCACGCCGCCCGACGCCGAGAAGAACCGAGGTCGTGCTGCGGCCGATGAGGCCCGCGGGTCAGCGTCCTTCCCTCAGACTGACGGGGTTGGGATTTCCCTTTCAGCGCAGTGGGAAGAAAAGAGATGGCGGGGTGAGCAGTCATGGGAGGCAGACACTCGCTGGCGGGAACCAGAAGAGCGGGAGCAGGAAGAACTCGGAGCGAGCGTGTGGAGGTCGCTGAGGAAGAAGGGCGGTTCCGTTACCCGGCAACCCGGCCTGGGCCCGCCTCTAGCTGGCGTTGCTAGGAGACGACGAGGCCAGGGGGAGGGCGGCGGAGCCGGCCCTACGTGCTGACGCTAATTGTATATGAGCGCGAGCGGCGGGCTCTCGGGTCTTTTTTAGCGCCATCTGCTCGCGGCGCCGCCTCCTGCTCCTCCCGCCGCCGCTGCCGCCCTGAGTCACTGCCTGCGCAGCTCCGGCCGCCTGGCTCTCCGTACTAGCCGCCGGTAACGGATAGGGGCCTGGAAGAGCAGGGAGGGAAGGAGGAGTCGGTCTGGGCGGCCTGCGGGAAGGAAAGGGACGGATGTGTTGGGAGGGGAGACCGAGAGCTGAGGGCCGCCGGCTGCTTGGGGAGGCTCCGTGCCGTGAGGCCGGAGCCGCTGGCCGTGCGGACTCCGTAACCTGAGAGGGACCCCGGAACCGACGCGGGGGACGGCCGAGAGGACGCGGGGGGCCGGCGCGGCCTAGGGGCGGGGGCCGAGGTTGCTTGGATCCCCACCGGCTCCTCCGCGCGGACGGGAGGGAGGCCGCGGCGGCGTCTGGGTGTTGTGAGCAGTCGGCGGCGGCAGCGGCGACGACGACGCCGCGAGGGGACGGGAGGCGGCCTAAATGCGGAGGGTCGGGCCCGAGCCTGGTGCCCGACGCCCCCCAGCTTGTCCCTCCTGCCCGGCCTCCGCTGGTGGCCGTGCTGGGGGGGGATGGAAGGAGCGGCGGAGGCTGCGAATTCCGACGGGAGGGAGGGGGCGGGCGAGGCCGCGCGGCCCGGGCTTCTCCGCCCACAGGAGGCGGCGGCCGCGCGGGGAGGGGAAGGCCCGCGCCGGCGCCCGGCACGTGGTGAGGGGCTGCATGGCCGCGCCGCGAGGCCGACCCCTCGGCCTGGCCTCTGCTCAAAAGTTGTGAAGGGGTGAGGGCTGGGAGTTCATAAAGCAGCCCGACATCCCCCTTGGCTTACTCCGCATCGGTGCGGGAGGAAAGTGAAGAATGTTAGCCGGTGGGTGCGGGGACAGGGTCTCTCCACAGTTAGGATGTTGAAGAATTCAGGCTTGTGAAACGCTTTGTGTTAGGAGTTACAACAAAAGATGCGTTGCTACATCCCAGGTACAGTTGGCGCTTCCGTGGGTGTCACGACAAGGGCTTTTTATTTAGGGAAGATGAGTCCTAATGGAAATAAACTTCTGAACGGTTGCAAGATGACGGTAAGGGCTCTGGCTTGTAATGCTTTTGAATCATGCAGGCTTTTAAACAAATGGGCTGCTTTATTGACGTTTCCACACTAAGGTGCTTCACTGGCTTCTCAAAGATGGAGGGGTATGGGCTAGAATGAGGTGTTCATGCAGAGTGAGCCCAGAGTGCCTCACTTCATTGCAGATCTTAAAAGATGGGCCATAAGAGAAGATGGGGCTAGCGGCCTTTCTGGTAGAGCCAGGCTCTCAGGATGTCTTCTAGGAACCCCATTGTAGACTACCCTGAAAAGGGAAACCACAGCTTAAACTGCTTATCTGCAAGAATCTGAAAAATTTGTAGCATCAAAATATCTTTTGACCCTAATGTTGGGGGCTATTTTCTTTTGAGCTTAAATAATGCTATTTATAGCTGCATTTGATTGGATAAGGGGCAGAACTACTGTAAGGATAGAAACATAATTCCGAGAGGTTCAGTGAAGTTTCCATTGATCTTCAAGGAGTCGTGTGCCTTTGGCATGCTGGAAGTTAGCTAAATTCACGTAAATTGTACGGTTCTGAGGATAGGTGAAACTAGTTAAGTAGGTGAGCTTGGACATCTAATATTATAAAATACTGACTTAACAGATGCTCTTTTCAAGCCAATATTGTTTTTAATCTACTGAGAATGGTAAAGTTTCATCGTATCAACTGGGAAATCATTGTAAATTTTATATTGAAAGGTACCTAAATTTATATTAGGCCCACTAATTGATAACGGCAAATAACAGTGCTTGCCTTTTCATGAAGCCCCCACACCCCCTTAAAAAAAAAACCTAGTTAAATCAAAATACTGTCCCTTATTTTTCTAATTGCCTATGTTGGTGCCAGGATTCTCTTCTAAACGTCCTAAAAAGAATTCAGGACAGCTTTTTTTTTTTTTTTTTTTTTTTTTAAATAGGGGTGAGGGCTCAAAGAGGCAGAATCTGTTGCATTACAAGGTATGAAGGAAGGTGTTCAACTTTGGATATTTGAAATATAATAATGAAAGGATGAATCCTCATTCTCTTTAAAACAAATACTACTGGTCATTTCTTAAAGTTTAATCGAACCTGTAATTGCTTTTGTTTAAGTGTTGTAGCACCTAAAGTTTGGCCATGTATGTAAGAAGAGCCTAACAGGCAAATGATGGTTGCCAGGATAAAAAGTGTTGAGTTGTGATGACAGCTATGAAAGGAAAAGACAGAAGGGAGCTCAGGGTATTAAGAACATCCTTTATGAAACAAAACAAAAAAACACATCCTTTCCACTACACACAGGATTCATAGAAATAACAATGATATTAAGTCTCTTTTCAAAACAGTTTCATCTGGGTAAGTTCCTTTCCACATTGGGCGGCGCAGGGATTAGCTGAGAGCTTTTGTTTCACACACATTCTTGAGCGTAGTGCCAGTATATGGCAGCAGGTTGCTAGAGCACATTATTGAAAGTATAGAAAGTGGCTTTTATACTTGGTTACCAGCTCTGCCTTTTATTGCTATATGCATCTATACATTTCATCATGCTTAGAAAAATTTTGTACATCTTTTATTGGTAAAGTGGGTAGTCTGAAATAAAGTACAGAAGAACACAACATGATTGAACAGTTGGCATTTACATGATGGTTATTCTAGCATTTTTGTAAGTTTCCATATGTATTATTAATTCACTTAACATTTTAAGAAGTAGGTAATAGTAGCATTTTAGCTGAGAAAATGCGACAATATGGCCCAAGAATTTGTCCATAGTTAATTAACAGAACAGTAACTTCTGATGGTTTTGTATTGGTTTTTATTATTTTCATTTTGAAAAGAATAGCAGAGATCCTCTGTTCTGATTTGTTGAGCACACACCTACAACAGCCAGGGCTAGGCCAGGTTGAAAGCAGGAACTACCTCTGGGTTTCTCATGTGGATGACATGTAACTAAAGTAAGCTCTCTTAAGAAATGTGGATGTTCCAAGGGCAGTCTATACACACACACACACACACACACATATATATAAATTATACTTAGCAGCAGTGATGTTGGCCCTTTAGAAATACTTTATCTTGGATTCCACTGACCTCTGGGTAAGGAGCTATAATAGCACTTAGCGTAGTAAGAACTCCCAAAGTGAAATTTGTTCATACATACAGCAAGATTATTTTTGAAAACTTCATGGAAAAGTGGAATTTAAAGTATTAACTTATTTTGACAGTTTTACTTTGTACATTGAAAAATATTCTGTGTACTATGAAAAAGCTGCACGCACTTCAGAAGTCTTTGTGCCAAATTAGACTCAGTCTGTTTTGGTTTTCCATCAACTTGAGGTATACTCAGATAGTTGGGCGGTAACTTCGTGTGTGCTGCTTACACATATATAATTTGGGGACTTGTATGTGGACAAAGTTTTTTTCACCAAGTGTCAGTCGAACCTGGGTGTATTTCTTTGCTATTATATCAAGTGAAACTATGGGTTTTGAGATAGATTAGGCAGAAAATAGTGTTGATATGTAGGTGTCCCATTTTCATTTGAATGTCATAAAATTTCAGTTCTTAAAAATTATAAAGTGAACAGATTTCATGCTTTTAATATATACAAATTTTAAAATTAATTTAGTTTTTTATTTGAAAGGCAGACTTTTTACAGAGGAAAGACAGAGCCTTCCACCTGCTGATTCACTCCCCAAATGGCAGCAATGGCTACAGCTGATAATGATCTGAAGCCAGGAGCCAGGAGCTTCCTCTGGGCCTCCCATGTGGATACCAGGACCATTTTGCTTTCCCAGGGAGCTTAATCAGAACTAAGCAGATAGGACATGAACTGTTGCCCATTTGGGATGCCGGCACTTGCAGATTAGCCTGTTGAGCCATTGCAAAGGCCCCAAAAGTTCAGTTCTAAACTGAATGTTAATGCTGCTTAAGCAAGTGATCATAAAGATAGTGGTGTTCAACCATGAGGTCATGAGGGAGCCAAATTAAGTACTGACTTCCTGGACCGTAGAAGGTAGGTTTTTCTTTTTAATGTGTCTGCAATACTGATTTGTTTAAAGTAGGTTTGGAATGAGGAGAGGTCTGTGATAGAGGAGAATTTATACTTGGTTATAACCGATGCTCCCTTTGCCTTAAAATAGTTCCATTTTAAAAAAAGTATTATAATGATTATTTCCTGTGAGTGATTTACATTCTCTCTGTATTAAGCAGTGGACTGGTCATGGGTTTCAAAAGTCAGGCTTCTAGGTTTTAGTATCTAGGTGTTTTAATACTTTATCTGAACAAAAGGATAGCCTGTAATAATTTCTCACAAGGTAGACTGTAGAAATTTTAGCTTGGTTCTATTTCTTTGGAAATAGAATTTATTCAGAACAAGGTTTACCAGAATAAGAAGGTAGAAACTTTCTGGTTATCTACAGGAGTGCAAATATTTAATTTTTGTGGTCTCATTCACTTATTCTGACTTTCCTTCAGGTTAAAATTTGCCTCAGGCGTGTTGTTTAGGAACTAACATGTTATTCTTGCCTTGGGTTGTGAGTTGAACCTTTTTTCCTGCTATTGTAGTGATATACAATATAACCAAGGGAAGCTGACTGGACTTTGAAGCTCTACAGAGCTCCTGCAGATGGGTTCCTACGGCCGGAATCAAGATCTGCAATGCAGAACCTTTAGTTGATTTACATTTGGAGTTTAAGTGATTGTTTTATACTGTGTATGTGTTCACTCTGTGTTGCAGGCTTATTTAAAAAGCATATTTTTCTTCAGAATTAACATGGTATGTTTCTAGTCTTTTGGTCATCCTAGAAATTAACTTCAGATTGTTCGAATACTTTTAATCCATATCCTTCCCCTGTTCAAACTACTGACTGTAGTGTTGGATGCACTACACGATGCTGTTTCCGGTAATACCTTTATAAATGTGCAGATGTCCTTTATTTTACCTTAGAATTCCCATTGGGATCACTTGCCTTATATCTAGGGAGTGTGCTTATAGATTTATTTATTTTTATGGGAAAGTCAGATTTATAGAGAAGGAGAGACAGAAAGATCTT